TTATATTCCCGTTATCATACGAAATTTCTGAACTTATTGAAATATTTGATGTATATTAAAAGTTTAACCAAGCTCACAAAAAAAACCTGAAAAAACCCCCCCATAAATTTAAGTAAAAAACTGCTGGTTATGAGCCAATTAAGTAAAAAACTGCTGGTTATGGCTGACGAGAAGGATTAGGGTACACATGGGAACTAGGCATTTTTATTTATTCACACCTTGGTGCAGGAGCAGAGACGATTAAACGTACTAAAATGCACTATAAATGTAACAAAATACACTCACATAAACATGTGAAGAACAATTTATTCTTAAATGTTCTTAGAAAACAAAATCATGATGTTGTAGGTAGTTACAAAATGTGAGTTGTGCCATTATGAGGTTGACATAATTAATTTTCTCTTCTCTTACATAAAAATGAATAAAAACAGGATAAAACTGCACAATGCCAACAATAAATACAGTTTAATAAAAAATAAAAATTCTAGTGGGTTGGTAAAACCCTATGGATAAGCTAGGTAGATATGTTGACAGGCCGGGCTGTTGATTCAAATTGTTATTTTTCACAGAACCCAAGCGGCCTACTCCGAGTTAGAGAAATGGGGCATGCATCTGAATAAGCAGGTTTCTCTCACTGGCCGTATAATCCCACCAGAGAAAATCATGATGAGGGACAATATAGTAAGTATTTTCTCCAGCTATTACTTAGTGGAGAGGCAAATAATGATTGGACTACTTATCCCATGATCAGTGGCGTACACACAACCCATGGGGCCCCGGTGAGAAAACTGATCCATGTGTCCCCCCGCCCGCGCTTACTCTTACACTTACTCTTACGCTGCGACCGCGGTATGTACGCCAGTGCATGCAGATACACATACACTTAAAGGACCACTACAGACACCCAGATCACATCAGCTCAATGAAGTGGCCTGGGTGCCAGGTCCCTCTAGTTTTAACCCTGCAGCTGAAAACATAGCAGTTTCCTATGGGCGGTTTGAATGCGCGCGCGGCTCTTGCCGCGCATGCACATTCGGAGCTGAGAGGCGGATCGGGGGGAGTCCTGCGCTGGAGAAAGGTATGTGCTGAAGACACGCACACACACTCTCACAAACAGACGCATACACACTAGCTAACAGACACACACATTTACTGACAGACACACACTCAGTGACAGACATACATACACACTCAGTGACAGACAGACACATACACACTCACTTACAAAACACACACTCACTAACAGACACCAAACAGACTCACTAACGGACATACACAGTAACACACTTACACACACACACACTCTAACACTCTAATACTAACACACACACACACTCACACTCTAATACTAACACACACTCTAACACACACACACATTTTTTAAAAAATGTAATCCCCCAGTCTCCCTACCTTTGGGAGTGCTGAGGGGATTCCCTGGGGTCCAGTGGTGTCACCCGGCGGACAGGCTGGCGGTCGTGCGAGGGAGCACTCTCCCCTGAGTGCTCCCTGTTCAGCTCCCTCACGTGTCGCGTACTAATACCGGAGCCGGAAGATGACGTCATCTTCCGGCTCCGGTATCAGTGCGGTGCGCGAGGGAGCTGAACAGGGAGCACTCAGGGGAGAGCCCGCCAGGTGACACCAGGGCCAGCCTCGGGGGGGCCCTGAGGTGGCCAGCTCCTGGGCCCCCCCAGGAGAAGTGGCTGGCCACACTGGGTAGATACCGGGTCGCAGGGCGGCCGGGCCCCCTGGTGGGCCGGGCCCGGTCGCAGCCACGACCCCGCGACCCCGGTATGTACGCCACTGCACATGATTCTCAGTCAGCCAGAGACTGATGGAAACTGTACTTAAAAGACCATAAAATTGTGCTTCATGATTTTGCGTCTGGTATACTCTATAGTTAAAGGAAATACAAATGTACAAAGATAAGTCCTGTGCTCAAACACCCACTACTCCTCTGGGGCAGCAGCAATGACCATAGCAAAGATCAGCCCCAATACATACAATAAAAACCAAAGAAAAAAAGTTACCTGCGGACTAGCCCAAATCCCCACGTATATTTAAATAAATGGAGGTTATTTAGTAACTTCAATGGCCATTAGATGCAAGCCCATCTGCCATGTCAACGTAAATATGCATGGGAATTTTGCCTAGTGCGCAGGTAACTTTATTTTCCTTTGGATTTTATTATAGTTAAAGGAACACTCTGGGTACCATAACAACTTCATAACAACATCAAAATGAAGTTGTCATGGTGCCATGAGGCTGTTTGGCGCTTTCTTACCTGAAAGGGATAAACTATTCTCGAATGGTTTAACGGTTGCTTCGAGTACCAGATCTTCAGTTCCCCCAGCGGCAATTGGCTTCTGAAATTGATGTTTAGGAAGCGCGGAGTGCTGCTGGCCAGGGACGCCGCTGTTTATCTCGAGTGGTCAGCTGATTCTCTAAAGTCAATCAGTAGGTACATACCTTTTTGATTAAGTTGTTATAATCCCCAGAGTGTTCCTTTAATTTGCCACTGTACCGTTTGAGGTTTTTGCTTTCAGAAATCCCACAATTTCTTCGAAACATGAGAAAATACATAATGTCATCCTTTGTGATCACAGTTATGTGCTTTTGGTCCCTAGTTCTTGCTGGACTACTCTTCCCATCATCTGACAGTTCAATTATGATACAACATAACATAAATTATTTTCTTTTTTCCAGTACCAACCTGCATCTCCTGCTGATTGGTCCAGGGACACTCGTGATTCAAGGATCATTAGCGCCCAAGCATTGGAAAACTGGCTCATGCTTTGCAGTCACCGTAATGAGGATTTGGCTCAGAATCTACTTTTTAATCTCAAGAAAGTGGGCTCGGGAATGGGGCTAAAAGTAGAATACCCCAAAGTGTGAGAACAAATTATATTTTTGCTCTATGTTTGTTCCATTCCTGCAAGTGTGTTAAGTGTTTCTTGGTTGTATTGCTTTGCTATTGTTTAATATTAAAGGAACACTCCAATAGCAATTGAGTGGGTATAACCCAAAGAAAATATGCCTGTAACTTGTTTTATTTGAGAGTACATGAAATAGTTGATTGCAGTAGCTGCAGTTTTCTTGTCTGCAGCCTCTGCAAGCCCTCCCCTTCTAACCCCGCCCAGATTCTCTGTGGCTGTCCAATCACAGACTTCTCAATGAGTTCTATTACTTGTAGCCCATTCTACACATCTCAAAAGATCTAATATTGTAAAGTGTTGCAGAATATGTTTCCATGGTATAAGATAATTATAACTGAGCTACAAATTCCAGAAGGCTTTGCAACGAGTTTTGACATCTGTTAAAAAGAGTTTTGAAAATAGCCTCTCCCAACAAACACTGTGTTAAAACAAACAGAGAGCTTGAGAATTGAAAGATATGTATGTGTGAAAGTCAGACAAGTTTGAAAATGTGTCACTGTCAGATTTATAATCTCTGCAAAGAGTTAAACAGCTTGTGCCCTGTTTGCATATTAACCCTTGCAGTGACGAGTAACACATTTAACACTTTTTACTCCATAGACCAGAATAAGAGGCTCCTGTTAGGTGAAGCTATTTTTTATTGTGGATAAATCCCACAACCAACACTATCTTTGAATATTCTTCCTTCATTGATTTTCACAACTTTACTGGTGCTCTATTCAGTTTCTTGTCTACTGTACACGAATATAGAAATCCCCAATACACAGAGATTTCTATACTCCTACACTGTGATCGAGTAAAAAAAGAAAAGTAGGAAGGAAGGGCTGATGACATGCATGATTACACATTTGCAGGCATAGAACCCTACTCTTTACATTCTGCAGGCATTTTTGGAATCCATATTCCGTTAAATACCTGCAGATTTAATACAAATGCCCATTAGCATCAATGTAGCCATTTTGTTTTCATTTTAGTGGTGCACAAGATTAATATTTGTGATTGTATGCAGTCATTCTGAAGCTATTAGAAGAATTGCAAGACAAATGATGCCATAGAATCTTGTATAGTGTATGCCAGTTCATGTTCCACCAAAGAATGAACACATAATTAAATTCATACATTGTAAAAACAAATTACTTATCCCTGAACATCAATCTATACACAGGATTACTGCTCTGTCCTGTATAGTGACTAAAAAATGATTTATCGTATAAATAAATGTGCAAAGGTGGTTTATCCAACCACCAGTGGAAAGTGTAAAATTGAAGCGTGTTAATACAAAATTTAATGGAAACATATATCTTCTAAATGTCAAGCAATGTCAGATTTGATGCCGTTGCATAAACAAATTCAGATCATTTCAGCAGCCTGCTATCACATATCAACATTTCCAAATGTTTGCGTGATAATTCTTAATACACAAGACAGTACATCAATCAGTTTTCAACAGTTGCTCATAAAAATATTTCTCATTTTTTCACAAAGGAAAAAACATTAGTTTTTGATCTGAAAAAAATGTATCTTCATATGCACAGGGATATTTTACAAACAAGGACACTTGTTTTTTGGGGACACTTGTTCCTTGTTTTAAGGACACATGATTTCTGCGTTTGTTTGGGCAAGGTTCGAACGCGTAGCTAAATAGTACACAAAATAATAAAATATGGAAAATACTCACTTTTAATATTCCGTCTTGGTATTTTTATTTCTAACAATGCATGAATGTCTGACCTAAAAAGATCAAAATAGATAAAAAAATAAGAAATCTGATAAAACAAAACTCTCACTCTGGCCCACATTAGGTTAAAATAACTTGATTTTTAGTTTAGTAGTATGATTTGATACTACTGGCTGGAGCTGACATCATTTTAAATGTCATTATGGACATAATACAAATATTATGGACAAAACTTATATTTGCAATATTACTGCAAATCCACACAATCTACAGATTGAGCATACATCTAATGAGACCCTTCTGCCAGTCCTAGAACGTCAAATTGTTGTACCATTGGAAACATTCGGAGTATATGCCTCACCACAACTTATGTGGGTCAGAGGAGGGCCAGAGGAGGTTCCAGCCAATCAGCAGCAGACCCTCCCTCCCAGACCCTCCCACCTCCTGGTCAGATCACTAAGAATGCAGCTTCACAATGAATGTAAAATGGATGCTGTCCAGGAGGTGGGAGGGTCTGGGAGGGAGGGTCTGCTGCTGATTGGCTGGAATGTGTCTGCTGACTGTGAGGTACAGGGTCAAAGTTTACTCAATGATGAGTCCGTGGCGAACCGTTCGTGGCGAACCGTTCGGGACATTACTATTGAATAACCCTCTTAAAATAGGAGGGTTGCGGAAAAGACTGCTGCTACTTGAGCAACTTGTTTCTAAGGTACTGAAAAGTTTGTTAGAGAGCAGTGTCTAATACACATCATTTCAAGTTATAGCATTACATATTTATCAAACACAGTTTTAGCAACTACACTGCTTTAGTGACAGTCCAATGCACACACAAAAAAAATAAAAAAGTAAAAATCATTGTTTAGTAGCTATATTCATAACGGAAAACATGCATGCATTTAATTATGTGGGTTTTTTTTTTCCATAGGGGGTTATATCTAAAAACAGCTTGCAACAGCTGCAGTTTTCTTGTCTGCAGTCTTTGCAAGCCCTGCCATTCTACCTGCTCCCCGAATTTCAGTGACTGTCCAATCACAGACTTCCCAGTGGAGCCCAATGAAAAGTCATTGCAAGGCAGATGGTCTGAGCAATTGCTGCCTCTTGAGTTTAGCTCCATTGAGCTAAACAAACAGGACCGGTTGTCTGATTGACAGCGAAAAAGAGTGTAGCCAAGTTAATTTGTGAAAGTGCCATTTTTTTAATTAAATTCCACACTTTTTTGTAACATGAAAAAAGAGGGCATGGTCTTCACGCATAAAGCACTTCAGCAAGCTGAAGGGCACTCAGGGTCTGGAGTGTCCATTTAAAATGTAGTGGTGTTGCGGGAAAGATGGGAATGAAATGGATGGATTGATATAGGGATGGATGGATGAATAAATGAAGAAGGGGAGAGAAATAGAGATAGAGAGAGGATAAATAGATGTACAAATTGATAAACAGAATGACTAGCCCGTTTGTTTGTTTTATTGTAGTGTTCAAGTGGAAGATAACCCAGCTTATTTTCTGCGGGCCCTGCAGCAGAACACATCTCCACAGCTTCAGCTGGTTTGTACTAACTATTACATTACTTGTAATACAGTTTAATGCAACAGTTGTATATATGTATGGCAGTGCATCAACGGGCCATCAAGAGCACAGTACATTAACACAGAGACTTATGGCCATTGTCCTTGGATAAGCAGCAAGGATTGAGATTCACTCTCTGTGCGGGATGCACTTTTTAAACATGTCTTAAATAAAGAACAGACATTTCATCATAATTTCCTGTTGCACTGCATTGCTACTTATACCAGGGACAAAATAATATAGGATCTGTTGGAGCGTCAGCTTTATGCCCATGCATTGAAATAAGCCTACAGTGTAAATGTTTTTTTATGCTTATATCGTTCTCCGCTCGCTATGTATTGTAAATATATTTTTATATTTATTAATTTCTTCTCAGTCACTGCATAGTATTCAGCCTGTACTGTGCTTGGTGACTGTGTTTTCTGTTGTGTGCACATTCTTATAGCCAAATAATTAACACTGCAATCACAGAGATAATAGAATTCTGAGTATTTGTGATCTCATCTGTGACAAATTAAAGGTAAAATAAACTTTTCTTTTTTAAGTCCATCACATTTATAGCCCCAGGCACGTGAGCCCTAAATCTAGCGATGATTTACACCACTTGGTGCACACTGACTGCAGTTTGGCAACTCTTTGTTTAATATAAACAACTTGTGTATGAGAATTCACATACACACATAACAGTCCCCATGCTACGTTTCATAGAAGGAACATCAAAATGGCTCTGTCATTGCATTGCATTATTTGCAATGACTCCCAATGGTGACTTATCCGTCGCCAGTGCTGTGGCTGAGGGGTGCAGGGGAAGCCTAAACTTGTCCCTCACGATTAAGGCCATGCTCTTCCTGACAGTCCTCTTCAACTCCTGGTCCTTAAGCTGCCAGAAGCCCATGTCAATGTTGTACACTGTGATCTATGGAGCATCCCACAAAACTGCAGGCTCTTGGCAAGACTTTACAAAAGGTATACATGGTTTGACTAAAGGTAGTTCTGCTTTTTTTTTTTTTTAAAGCATGTCAAGCGTAGGAAAAGGACTAAGACAATAAGTCCCAACTTTGTCTTATCTCTTTTGACTGGGTTGAAATTTCAGTGACATTTCAGTACAGATAATGCAGGATTTCATAAGGATTCTATCTTAATGAAGTACTCATCTTGGAGTGGGGGTGACACTGCCCCTTTAAAGCCTTAGGATGAGATTGATCGAATACATTCAAGATGGTATTCTGGTTGAATTCTTGATGCTTTCATCCAATCAGAATACAGCCAGAATTTAAATCATTATGTTTTAGCATTTATACCTTTGAAATAAAAGTGGTCTATTTATAGACTTGTACTGTCATCAGTTAGTTAATAAGAGTCATAACTAGAACTGCGAACAACCTGTTCCTTCAACAACTTTAAAAGGGTATGTCTTACTTTGTGCAAAGCCAATAATTATGTTAAGCAATTTTCCAACATAATTGGTTACTTTGCTTAGATAATGTGTTTTTGTCTGGAATGATTGATTGAACTATTATTCCGTTGGTATCTGGTGGAAATAGAGAATAAAAATAAATAAATAAATAAACCCCGGTACTTAAATGGTAATTCTTGTGAATTTAAGATGCTTTTTAATTTGGACACAAGATTTCTCTTAGTTTAAAAAAAAAAAATTCCAGGGCTTTATTTTTTTTTTCTTTTCATATAAATCAGTGTTACAAACATTCATCTAAATATTTTAGAATCTTAATACTTTTTATGTCCAAATTAGTTTCTTGCAAGTTTCAAGGCACTATTTCAAAGTTTACTCCAAACACCATGGCCACTGCAGTGATTTTAAGTGGTCATGGTGGATGGAGTCTGTATGCACAGCATTTCGCTGTGAAACAGAGTTTGGAGGAACACTGTAGGATCAGGAGCACAAACATGTATTCCTGACCCTATAGTGTTAAAACATCATCTGCACCTCCACGGCTCCCTCTTCCTCCCCTAAATATAGTAAAATGTTTCTTGTATTCCAGTCTGCTACTGCTGGCTCTGCCCCTGATCTGCCTGCTTGGCTGACATCATCACAAGTGATTCTTTGAGCCAATCACAGTACTTTCACATTGAATTGGCTAAGACGGTCAAGGAGGCAGGTCAGGGCAGAGCCAGCGCAAGCCAAACACAGCCCTGGCCAATCAGCATCTCCTCATAGAGATACATTGAATCAGTGCATCTCTATGAGATAAGTTCAATGTCTCCATGCAGAGGGTGGAGACACTGAGTGTCAGTCACACTGTGTAGCACTGCACCAGGAAGCACCTCTAGCAGCCATCCGAGGAGTGGCCAGTGGAGGTGTCCCTAGGCTGTAATGTAAACACTGCATTTTCTCTGAAACTACAATGTTTACTACAAAAAGCCTGTAGGGAATGATTCTGCTCACCAGAACAAATACAATGTAGTTGTCCTGGTGACTATAGTGTCCTTTTAACCCTTTTGATGCCCTAGATTTAGCTCCAGGAATGCCAGTGGGACATCATTAGCCACCCAGGTATGAGGGCAAGCCATTGCTAACCCCCCCTCCTGACTCCACTACATTTAATTGCCTGCCTAGTCACCCCCAAATGCCCCTAGTTCCCCCATTTTGCCTTTTTTAATTACTTTATTTTGTGCCCGGACCTAGGTCCTGGGTGCTGCCATCTTTGTGTAGGCAGATGAAGTCCCTGTGGGATACGTCATCTGCCCACACTAGATAGCGCTGTGAAATTCCTGCACATGACCAGTTAAACACTGGGGCATTTCGCTATTGTCTGAAATTCGGACGGAAATTTAGTCTATTAATTTGTCAGACGAATGAATAGATATTTCAGACGAACAAACAAACACCGACATGTTTGTTTGTTCAGTTTATTACAAGGAGCGAGCTACCGGCGCGCAGCTCCCTCCTTGCAATACGTAAAAATAGAAGGAGTAGGGAGCAGTGCTCCCCACCACTTCCTAAGCCCCCCATGTCCTCCCTCACTCTATGGGGATCAATATGACTCCCATATTAACACAAAGGAGATTGAAATCTCCCGAATGCCTCTACTCGCTATGCCGGGAGTAGGGACATTTCTACTAAACAGTGAGCAGCCATGAGTGGCGGGAGGGGGCCCTAAAAGACAATGAGGGGGGACTTATTTCTCCCCCCTTCCCGTGAGCGGCGGGTGGGGTCCCTAAAAGACAAGGGCCCCCACCCATGCGCAGTAGGTGGGGCTCAAAAAGACAATGGGGGACCTGTCCCCCCCCCCCCAAGTGACTGGGGATCCCCTTGTTACTTTTGGCACTACCCGATGCTCATGGGTGGTGGGCGGGGGGAGACAATAGGTGCCCCCGCCCCCTTTTTGTTACTTAGGGCCCCCTACCGCTGCTCATAGGTGGAGGGAGAAAAAGATCCCCCCCTTGTTACTTTTGGCCCCCATCCACTGGCTGCTTACTGTTTAGTAGAGATGCCCCTACTCGTGATATAACGGAGAACAGATCCTGAGAGAGGGAGAGAAGAGGATGTGATTATGGAAAGGTAAGTTCGGCATGACAGTGCCGCTTTAAATCCAAAAACTGTCCCAGTATGTGACGCCAAGGGATGTTTAAAACCACTCTAGTCTAACAGTGTCTTTTTTGAAATATTGATCGATCAATGACTTTTAACCTGTGATTGCTGTTTTTAAACAATTGAACACAATCATAACTCATTGAAAGAATTATCTGATCTCTGTTTTCGCACACCAACGATCTCCCACCTGTTTGGGAATCTGAGATTATTGGTTTTCAATGGATTCGGCATGTACACACTTATAATTTTATTAATGACACGGAGGCTCTTATTATGCTATCTCTTTCTTACGTTATTCCTCAGCAGCAAAGAGAAATATAAAACTGAAAGAGAAAAAATGTAAATATGAAATATAATAACAGATACAACCAGATCTGCCTAGTAACAGGGCAGCCAATCAGCAAAGTAGGAACAGTCCATAAATGTCTTGCTTAGTAC